AAAAAAAAAAAAAAAAAGAAAGTGGATTTGTCAGCCTCCTTCCTCAACCTCTTAGCTTCCTTGGACTTTGGGGGTAAGTGTGCATAGACCTGTGCACTGCGGAACAGCTCCCCAATGGCTTTCCGTATTCTTTCAATCTAACAGGCCACTTTGGATAGCTGAACGTGTGGAGGTTCCTGGAGGATGGCATGCCTAGGGAAGGCAAGGAAGCTCCAGACTGACCTCCCTCCCTGCCCACAAAATGCAATCTCTAAGAATATACGGGCTAGTCGAGGTAGGTCATGCCTATAATCCCAGCACTTTGGGAGGCACCTGAGATGGGAAGATCCTTTAAGCTCAGGAGTTTGAGACTGGGTAACACAGTGAGACCTCATTTCTAGAAAAAAACAAAATCAAAGAAAAATAAGAATATACAAATCACATGCTAAGTGGGGAAGGAAGATAGGAGAGACAGGCATTTCTCACAGATAATTCACATATATAATCACCCTATGCCCAGTTAAGACCATGTTTAGTCCAGTTTATGTTATTTATGATCAAGACAGGGATGGCACAGAAAATGAAGGATAGCCTTCCAATCTCTCCAAGGGTCTTAATGTTTTTTCCCTGTACTACTTCTCTATAGAAAATGCTAGAAAGTCACCGGGCGTGATGGCTCACACCTGTAATCCCAGCACTTTGGGAGGCCGACACGGGCGGATCACAAGGTCAGGAGATCGAGGCCATCCTGGCTAACACAGTGAAACCCTGTCTCTACTAAAAACATATCAAAAAAATTAGCCCGGCATGTTGGCGGGCGCCTGTAGTCCCAGCTACTGGGGAGGCTGAGGCAGGAGAATGGCGTGAACCCAGGAGGCGGAGCTTGCAGTGAGCTGAGATCACACCAATGCACTCCAGCCTGGGCCACAGTGAGATTCCGCCTCAAAAAAAAAAAAAAGAAAAAAAGAAAAGAAAATACTAGAAAGTCAGCTGATGCCATAACCACTCATACTTGGCAAAATGCCAAAAGTGGGAAAAGGAAAGAAAAAAAAATTACAAGGGCCATATCTTTGAAACCAATGTCTGCAAGAGTGATAGAAGCCACACAATGGCATCCATAATGTGGCCCTTTCCCAGTCTTATAACCACTTAAAAATGTATTCCTTCTTCCTCTCCGTCTCTTCACAACACCTATTGGTCCTCACTTCATTGATGTAAAAATGGGTAAAATATCAGCGACCTCATGCCTTGGGAAGATTAAAGGAAAGTTATTTAACAAACACTTATACAGCACTTACGCTGTGCCAGGCCTATTCTAATTTACAAACTTTGTGGGTTTTTTTTTTTTTTTTTTTTTGAGTCTCACTCTGTCACCCAGGCTGGAGTGCAGTGGTGGAATCTCAGCTCACTGCAACCTCCCGGGTTCAACTGATTCTCCTACCTCAGCCTCCCAAGTAGCTGAGGTTACAGGCGCCTGCCACCACGCCCGGCTATTTTTTTGGTTTTTTTGTATTTTTAGTAGTGACAGGGTTTCACCATGTTGGCCAGGCTGGTCTCGAACTCCTGACCTCAGGTGACCAGCCTGCCTCGCCTCCCAAAGTGCTGGGACTACAGGCGTGAGCCACCAAGCCCGGTCCTATTTTACCAATAATAACACTTCGAATCCTCCTAAGAGCCCCATGAGGTAGGTACCATTATCATTATTTTACAGATGAGGAACTGAGGCCTAGGAGAGACAACTAAACCTGCTGAGGGTCACTAACCAGCACCTGGTAGAACCAGGATTCAAATATGAGCAGGCTCGTCTGAACCCCTTGCACTTGAGCACCCTCTGAGATAATTTAACCCCTTCATCGGTACCAGATCTATGGTGGCCTCCAGAAATGGTTGCTAACTTACTATCATCGTTATTTCTGTCGTACAATTCATTTCTACCTTTCCAATAAACTTTCCCGAACCAGTGAACCTTACTTACTGCCCATAAAGTTCACCTGTGCCTCACCACCCTGCCCTCGCCCGAGTTTTCTGCTCTGACCGAATCCTCACACGCCCGTGCAGCCCCAGCCTCCAACACCAGGTGCACCGCGAGTGTATTTACTGATCCAGTGAATGAAGGTGGGCCCGGCCGGGCTGGTTCCCATCCTCTGATCAACGCCTAGGGGAACCAGTAAACTCCAATGCTGACCATAAGTGTCTCAGAAAGTAGGTCTGGAAAGCCCAGCCCTCCGCTCAGGAACCTATGAAGACCAGGGAGGATAGCGCATATGCGGCCGCAGGATGGAAACCTCGATCAGAAGGCTGGGGCAGGTGACTGGGCTTAATTGCAAATTTTAACATTTACTTCAGCAACCAGTTCATTAAAAACAAACTACTCTGAGGCCTCTTTTTTCCCTACCAAACCGCAAGAGGAAGCGAAAAAGAGCGCAGCCGCTCTCCCTGGGGCCGTAAGTGCTTCCAGCTATCTGACCTCCACGCTGCCTGCTGCAGCCTCAACCTTTCCCCTGGTTCGGAGTTCTTTCAGCAGTAGGTCCAGGAAAACATCTGCCCCGCTC